ACAAAACTTATTTTGGACTGCTTATATGTCATCGCCATTGTGGAAACCCCAGATTTCGCACCCATACATCAAAATTGGTACAATTTTACAATCGTATATAGTGAACGCAGTCCTCACGTCTAGATTGCCAAAACATGCCATGATTTGATTGACGGAAAATAGTGCTTTATTTCCTTTGTTTGCCAAACACTTATGAGCCTGGTACAATTTGCCTGTACTTGAAAAACAGTGCCAAGGTAATTATAGCTGGGAACAACTTCTAGATTCTGGCCCTGGAAAAAACATTTTTCATGTTTCTTTAAAACACCAGACTTTCTAAAAACCATAATTTTTGTTATGTCAATTTTCAATTTCCACTTTTGGACAATTGTGTAAATGATTCTATAAAATTGTTGTGCCATTTATACTTAACTATACGATTACCACAAAACAATTGTTTCGTTGAATTATATTGTAAAGCAACATTACCGTTGAAGGTTATTGGCTGGTGATCAGATTCTAATCGATCAGTTATATCAAAACCACTTATTAAGTGAAAATTATCATAATCTGTGATAAGGTAATCTATTACACTGCCAACAGCATCCCTATTGAATGTATAATGACCCATATCTGCATCATTGAATAGTTTTCTATTGATAATTATTTGATCAGTGTGTTTGCAAAATTCAAGTAATTAATGCCCATAATGAGTTGTTACAAGATCCTATGATGACCTGAATGGCAAGAGGTCATCATCATACGGTATATACAAGTTGGGGTTAATGTAATCCGGGTTATTTTCAGTCCTCAGATTAAAATCCCCACAAACAGAGAACGTATGATCACTGTAAATACTTTTCATATTAGCTAAATCATCTTCCAAAATGTGAAAATTATTGGCATTAGCGTAGGTAGTGAATATTCTAGGGAAAAATAGACAAACCCTATACAGACAGGAATCATGAGTATTGTAAACAACCTAAACAATGTCATCGTTAGTTTTATTTTTAAAATAAGTTTTATAACAAACACTAATCCCTCCAGAGGGCCGACCCAAGTATGTGTGCTTTTTTCTATAAAAATGGGTACAACTAAAACCATCAAGAACAAAATCTGCAGTAGATGAACACATTGCAATCGAAAGATTTTAAATAATTCGAAAAATCATAGTTACCGCACTTTGATGACAGACCATTAATGTTCCAAACAGCAAATTTCATAATTTTATTTGTAGGTGTTATAATTTCTGGTTTGGAAGGACAAACAACATTTACACCTTGCATTAGAAGGAATGTTGTTATAATTATTAATTTGGCCTTGACCACCTACCTATCTTTTAAAGAGTTTAATATCATCAGAACTTTCCTCATACACATAAGTTATGTTATAAATAATGAGTTTAAATAATAATCAAAACGAAGTGAAGCACGTTTCCCTTCATCCAATTCTTAGCTGAGAAATACGCCCAACTTTCTTCTGATATCGCAAACACGAGTAGAGTAGTCTTCCGCGATACGGATGTTAGAGTCTTTCAGTTTCTTACCACTGCGTAATACACGGTCTCTATCCTTGTATTTCGAAAATTTCACAATTACTGGCTGCGGACTGTTTTTTGTAGGTGAGCCCTTTCAATTTCAACATTCCTTTCGTCAATATCCGATTCCTTCATCATAAATTCACGGAATTTGCCCAAGTTTCGTTCCCATCGGATTTTTGCTCTATGTCATGAAATAATAAATTATTTCGCCTGAGTTGACCATCCTGACGGTCCTGTGCGGCCTTTGTCTTTTTTCAATCGTCGCTCGTAGGGCTACATTTTCTGCCTGTAAATCACTGATCTGCTCACTTGCTTGATGTAATTGCAGAGTAACATTCTCTAATTCTGCACACATAAGCCCCATATTCTCATCAGATTTAATTAATAGTTGTTCAAAACGATGGTCAAGTGACTTGTGAAGATTGTCTATTTTGGAATCAATGAATGACTTCAATTGCGTAACTACTGGGTCGTCACCTGTTCGACATGGTATTCCAGGTTCCGGGTTAGCATTTTCTGCATAAGCACTTTGACGAGTATTATAAGTATTATTTAGCCTTTTTAACGTGATCACGAAAACTAGCGTGACTGCGAAAAAAATCCCGG